CAAAAAAACACCCCAATTACAAAACGATTTTAGAAACAAATTTTTTCTTGATCAAACAGGCCTAATAACTACACCATTGCAACAAGAGCAACTGATCTTACAAAACCCTCTTATAGTGCCAAGGCTTATTAAATATGTTTTCTGTGGGCAAGCCGATGGAGACTACTGGATGGCATATGTTCTGGATCAGAAATTAGAGCTCATGTGGTCTATTCAATGCAGTTTTCTGAATCAGCACCCCAAATAACGAAACCAAACTGATTCATAACACTTTGGGTACTAATATTTATTTATTTGCGACATTTCTATCCCGCCTTCTCTACCCCATAGGGGACTCAAGGCAACTTACATGTAAGCAACCATACAAAGTCGTAGGATATGTACAATTATATTCATTTAAATAAAGTTATAAAATACATTAAAACAGTTTAAAAGCATATAAAACAACACATTAGCAATTAATCACACCTCCCTCAAACGTAATCTGGCAATTCTAGTAGTCAGTGCTCATCAATTTCATATCTATCGATTTCTCAAGTTCTCCAAAAGCTTGGTCACAAAGCCATGTTTTTACTTTCTTGTAGAAGGTCAAGAGGGAGGGGGCTGATCTGATATCCCTAGGGAGGGAACTTCACAGCTGGGGGGGGGGGGTCACCACTGAGAAGACCCTGTCTCGCATCACTGCCAATTGCACCTGCAAGCAGGGCCTCTCCAGTCGATCTTAGATTCTGAGGTGGTTCATAACAGATACGTTTGGACAGGTAGACTGGGAGAGTGGTCCCTGGTCAAAAAAGGTTGGGAACCACTGTATTGGAGTGTCATCAAAGGTGTCCTGCAATATAGGCTGAAAGTAAACAAAATAACATTTTTCAGAAGTCATTGGATTCAATTAGAAACAGCTTTAAAGGCATTTAAAACATACTTGAATAAAAAGCACAACACCGCCAATCAAGAAAAGGAACCATACACATCACCAAGGCACAAAGTCTATCTAACTTCTAACTTATTAGATCTCTCCTATTATTTATTGCTGCTTAATGCTCACATTTAAGTTACATGGTTCGGTTTGTCTTCTTGCGGATTTGACCCTGTAGTAGAGGGCAAGTGAGTAAGCAGTGATGATAATGACAAGAAAATAGGTCGAGTCCAAGAAAATGGCCCATTGGGGGCATCTTGTCCAATGACCTGTCAAAGCATACATCTTACCAGCTCTTGAAAGACAATAGGAAGCTGATATAAACTCTGGGTTACTTGTAATGCATGCTGTGTAAACCACTAAAAGTTCTTGGAAACAGGTTAATGTCACTGTTTTAGAGGCAGTATCAAATGCCTGGAACAAATAGATTGAACTTAGCTACCAGAATATAAGGAAATGCCTTATTATATTGGTCCATCTCACCCAGTCTGGCAGCCACACTTGGGGGTTTCAGGCAGGGTTATTTCCTTGTCCTACCTGGTGTTCCCTGACTTGTCCCTGCAGTCTTCTTGCCAAATAATGACCAACTTACCTGCTTCCAAAATTGCTGCAAGTATTATCAAGGCATTAGAAGGAACTCTTGTGCCATTCCTGCATCAGATTTCTTATATTTATCGTCTTCTAACAATACATTTCTACATCGCACACTTAGGTGGCATGCAGCCAGGAAACCATCTGATTGTATAACAACAAGCTGCACTATTTAGAAAAAGGGGGAAGCAAGCTAAATATGAGCATTCTGTCAACCAAGTTGCTGTTTTCTTCTTAGTAACTCCTATCAGATATGTTCCCGCCAAAAAGGCTCAGGGGCAAATATGTTGACGAAAGATGGAATTGCATGTTTATGCCAACAGGGATTTTAGAAACTGTGAGTCCAAAATTTTTTAAAACTGCTCAGTTGGCAGAGAAGTCAGTCTTCCTTGTTTTTTTTAAAAAAAATCAGAAGCAGACTCCCAAATATGGATGTTCATAAAATCATGCCAACAAATACATTACCAGAGTGAATGGGCTTATCTGAATTTGAATAATGCCTAATTGTGAGCAATTATAGTGTGCTGCTCTGCTTCCTCGTCAAATAATCTCCATTGATGAAATGGTGCTCCCACTCAAAAGTTTATTAGCAAGCCGCAGATGCCCCATCATAGGAAGCAAAGAGAATAGCTGTCAATTGTCAGCCTTTAATTTAGTGATTAAAATTGATGGAATGAACCTTCAGACAAGTATCTAAAACTGCTCACTGATTTCCACTGCTTACAATGCCGTGATGCTTAGCAGGGCATGGGTTATTAAACTGAAAATAAATAAAATATAATGAGGCTAATCTAACCAGACATCCCACGCAGAGACCTCTGTGCCCTCAAACACCAAGCGTTTGGTGCATAAAGCCTTTAAAAAAAGAAAAGAGAGTGTTAGAGGAAAAAGGCAAGAAAGGTGCTATTATTTAAATGCATATGATGGTTATTCTGATTCTGACAAATGGAATTTCAAAAAAAGGAGAAAGCCCTACTGCCCTCCTATACATTTTCAAAGCAATATGCATTTCTGTTAATGAATAATATGATGTTACTCCAAAAATTCTCTTCAGTGTCTGTATTGTTAAAAGAACTGGCCAAAATTCTGCAGTCTTATTTCAGTCAGATCCCTGTTTTCTCTGTTTAGCAATAGATTCAAACAGTGCATTGCATGG